AATGCACACACCAACCAAATAAACAGCCCACCGTTGCGATCAAGGTTGTCCCCACAACAGGACCGCAATTTGAAGACCTGCCATCCGTCGCGCAATCTCTAAGGCCTGAACTTGAAGCTTTGTTGGCAAACTTGACCGTGCAACAAAAAGTCATTGGGAGCTCCCTGAGCAGCAGGTCATGTGGCAGGCACCAGTCCAGGCGGCTATGTGTCGCAGGGGCCTTGCTGTTGCCAAAGTGCCCAGGGCGCCGGCCTTCCGGGGACTTTTCAACACGTCCATCTCAACGGCATCCTGGCACACGATAGGCCAACTCCGCCCGCACCACGTCCACACCTGGCCGGTGAGGGTTGACTCCCGCAAGTTGCAGTTCTTGTTCTTCCAGGTTACGAAATAGCCGCCACTTGGCAACCAGTTCCCGACGTCGAATCTCCCGACCTTCCCCTACCAGAGCGGACATCAATTCCTTGGCGCGTTTGTCATTTCCTGTCACGAACTATCCAAACTAGACTCGTTTCGCACAGGGATGCCTGCGCTGCAGACGGCGTTCCTCCAAGATTTGGAGCAAAACCAATGAATGAAATACGAACAAAGGAAATGCAAAGCAAAAACCCGCAAGCTACCAGCGGTCGCTTCCAACCTACTGTGCAGTGATGGCCTCCAACTTGAAGAAAGTGTTGTGTGGGCCTTGTGTTCCTACAACGGCTCCCTGCAACGATCCCCTCCAGGGAGGCTCAGCCACCAGGGGCCTGCGTTCTTGCTCCTAGTGGTAAGGCCAGGCCCCTAGTGGCGTCCTTGCTGCTAGTAGCGATGCCCTTTGCTCCTAGTAGCGTCCTTGCTCCAAGGCCTGTGCCAAGCGGGAAGTTGTGCAATGGCTGAGTGGACGCCAATCATATTGAACCATTGCAATGACCCAGCCCATGACACTGGCTCAGAAAAAGGCCCATGATCAGCTTCACCAGTTGCAGTGTCCACATGAGAATGGCAAACCATGTTTGAAGTTTCTGATTTTGTCCAGGTCTTGCCATCGTGGAAGCAACAGGAGTTTCTTCTGCTTTTGAAAGTCGTTGGCGGGGGGATGGAACGACCTACTCCGTGAATAGTTCACGTGTAGATCCCACTCCACCGGTTCACGTGTAGATCCCACTCCACCGGTTTCAGCTCCCGTCACGTCTGAGTCAGAAATGCATCAACCAAGGCGAGGACAATGTACTAGGTCATTTGACTGTCGCCTTCGTCGTCATTTTCGTCACGGTCATCGTGTTCCTTGTCCTTGTCCTAGGCTGCTTGTCCCCTCGTTACCTGTGCTTCACTTGTGCTTATGCAGCGTGTCGCCTGTATCATTGCTCCATCGACTCGTAACATTTTGCTATCCCCTTGGTGTGGCGCATGACTTGTTTATGCCACAGGAACTTTCTCTCCCACCAGCTTCCTGCACACCGAGCCACAATTTACACCGACCACGGTTTATACCAAACCACGGCTTACACCACACACCGTGTACAAGGAACGTCGGCTTACACCAACCAGCGTTCACACCAAGCCAGGGGTTTGACCACACACCGCGGGGTTCAACGTCCCTTGCTCTGACTTTGGCGTTTGTATATACCAGGATTTGTTTACCCCACCGCCACTAACCATCTCTCACTGGCATGGCACTGTTTTCATGTTCTGAACCATCATGCCGTTTTGTTGGCAAGAGCGCTCCTTATTGACTTTGGAGGCTGAATCTCGCAACGTGGGCTTTTCCGCTACCTCTCGCCACATCTCGTCTCCAGACCCTGCCAGCTGGCGTCAAGTCTGACGACCATGGCTGTTGCCATCGGGCATTCCATGGCTCAAGTAACGCCCAGCACTCGTACCCAATACTCGCAACAAAGGTTGCATCGGCTTACTTTTCACAGACATGGGCCGGAAATGCAACTGCGACACTCAAGATGTGGCGTGCCCAATTATAAACCATATGCCACACGCCCACCTAGGTATGAACGCCTAAGGGTTCAAGGAGAAGGTGTGGTTCAAATCCCCAAATGTACTAAAGGTCATGGTTCAGGTTTCCGGTGTGGGTCAAAAAGGCGACGACGTCGACGACGAGTGCACTAGCCTGTGACAGCAGCAAAACCTCTTCATCCTGAAGCAGCCTCCAAGACTCTTATCGTGGTCACAAAACATCACAATTTGCAGGCATTCCACTATCACGCATAGTTTCGTTGGCGCCTTTGCATGGCCGCACGCCCCCCATTCATTCCAACGGTTTTCACACACACGCTTCCCAGGAAGGGAGGCCAAGGCCGGTGTGCATGTGCAAAGATGCATGTGGCTGCGATGAAGGGAAACCAAATAACTAGGGACAAGCAATGAAGCCCAACGTCATCAAGACGTGGGCGACCTGAGGCGTGAATTTGAAGTAGTTGTGCGCGTACAAGCTAAGGGACGGGCCAATGTGCACGCAAAGAGAGAAAACAGAGTCAGATGACAGGACATGAAGCCGGGAAAAGCATGAAACGAATGAAGCAAAATGCGTGTGTGAAGGGGAATGGGTGAAAGGGGAATCACACGGAGAGGCCCAACACCGACGAAGCCAAACCTACGAGGAAACCAAACCTACTGCAACCGGCCCGAATGGGCCTTGGAGATGTTTGACCACTCTGAAAAATGGCGGTCAGCTCCTGCTAATTGTGGCATGGCTAGCGCAAGCCTATTTTGTCCACTTCAGAAGGCCCGGTGGAAAGATAGACAAACCCGCTTTCGATGGGGCCACAGGGGACACTCCTCGGGTTGGGATGAAGCCCACCCAAGTATGAACGTGTGAAGGTTCCAGGAGAAGGTGTGGTTCAAAGCCCCAAAACCACAGCTGTAGGTTTTACGACGTCTCTGGTTTGTTTATTTCATCGCGCATGGGCGGCCCAAGGGTAGATTTCCCGATTTCCCGGCCTGCAAACCCTTTAGCCAAAAACTGCCCCCGCCAGACAGCTTTCGGAATTGAAAGCGGGTATAGGCGGGCTGCACGCACACCACTCCCAGCCAGCACCGTACCCAGCATTCTTGGATGCGGTTTTGCAGCGGTGGGACAATTGCGTGCACCCAACTGAATTCTGTCGGGAAGTGCTGGGGTGCGACCTTAGGCGGGGCTTCGTGTAGCGTTTTTGGAGCCTACGGTGGCCAAAAACAATTGCGCAGAGGGTGCGCTTCTTTTTGGTGAACACCTGTTGTACATCACCACATACAGGGTTTAAACTTGATCGATGCTTTGAGTTTGGCGGTTCTTGTTTGAAGGACGCATCTCGCACTGTGCAGCTGCCATTGACGGAGGCCAGGGCGAAGTGATTTGGTGGGCATTTTTGCATGATGCGGTATGTGTCAATGCTTCAATATGTGCAGGTTGTCCATCGCACAACGAAATCCTTGACCGCCAAAAATGCAATGCCTCGATTGACAGAAGCGATCGCTGCAATGGTGGGTTTCTCATTTTGTGGGACGTGCTTCGGCACACAGCAGCAACCTTGAATTTGATTGCCTCCAGGTCAAAGAAGCAGATAGCCCGACAGGGCGAATTCGTGAAGAACGCTTCCGCAATGTTTTGGAGGACCCGAAAACAACTTCAACGATCGGTTTTGTGTGTTTCTGCATGGGCCCATAATGACATACATGTTGTTGGACACGCATCATCAAGGGTGCTGCACCAGGTTGTCCCCGGCCATGTATGTTTAATCTCTGTTGCTGCACGGCTTGGGGCAGGAACGCTCTTCATGGGACTCTGCGCGCACTGTTCTTGTGCCTCCGTGGTTGACATGAGCCGAAACATGAACTTGAGCACACACCCATCGGAACGTGTGGTGTCAAGCAGGTTGATTGACTTGCTCTTGAAGACCCGCCCAGATGATGCTAGAGGAAACGGAGGATGATATGAGAGATGTGGTTGGCAGCCCTTCCCAACAAATGCTACGTGCGTGTGCGCCGTGTGTGTTTTTTTTTTGAGGTGTTACATGAATGCACACATATCATGGATGGCTTGTGGGAGGCCCACCCGCCCGAGCATGAAAACAACATGTCAGATGTACACAGCATCCAGTATACCTCCATCATGCTGCTCACATTTATTTCGCCCTGCCATGCGGACGGGTTGCGAAACACGAAAAATTGTGCAACAGCTGTGCCTCTTTCACATCAGCCTTTTCTCCTACAGTTTTCCCTCTCATTTATCAATCCGCTGCTCCTATTCGCAAACATACCCGTTGTTTGGCCCGCATTTTTCGTTGTTGTTTTTTGCAAGTTCTTTTGCACTGCGCACATCACAATCCAGCCTTGAAATGCGCAAACGTTCTTTCTGGCAGTGTGGCCGGCCTAGCCGCTTAGCCTTTTCCAGCACGTGTGTGCATGGACGACTTGGTGCAGAGGAGGTCGCCAGCCAAGTGCTTGACACGGACGAAGTCCAGGCCAATCTTTTTTTGGGGGGGCGGTGTTCCTCATGGTGCACTTTGGGCTATACACCTTGCACTTGAATGTCCGATCTTGAGTCTTGAGGCCATTTTCCCCGAAAAGAGTGGTGCAACTCAAGGTTAAGAGTTACGACTCTGGACCAATATGTCTATTTGGTTGTCGCCAGCAAAAGACTGAAGACGATGGTCTCGTTGAGAAATTCAGTGCTTCATTGACTTGTGACTGTAGACAAGGATGAAAAAAGGCCGAACATTTCGATGGTTTTTTTCAAGAACACATGTGTACGGCGGGCGAAAGGTTGGAGTCGTTGTTTGAGCCACGATTCATGTACGTACATGTCAGGCACATGATGCAGCAACGGACGCCAGGCGAACTCAATTGACGCCCCCTGAGCTTCTCAAAGGTCCAAAGGACGTCGCAACAGTTGGACCTAGAGACCTGGACATGTTTGGAAAGTAAATTCCTGAGGTAGGAGCAAAGGGCATCGCTACTAGTAACAAAGGGCATCGCTACTAGGAGCAAGGACGCTACTAGGGTCCAGTTCAAAGAATCAAAGGGAAACCAAAACATTCATGTTCGCACAATTCGGGCAGATGAGCGATGTGCTGGCCACGGTACCGAACAATGGTCTGGGGCTCCATGGAATGCGGACACTAGAGCAGGATCTGTTTGGATTCGGCCCAGTTGGCGGACGACCCTTGATTTCGACTTTGACACTTTTCATTTGCTCCACATTTTGCGCGCGTTCATTATTTGATGCTCATGCTGGCACGAGTTCACATGTTGCAGCTGGGATGGTCTGCCATGGCGTTTGGCAAAACGAGTGAAGACATGCTTGGGCGATGGCAGCATGAGTGGCACCTGACAGCAGAAGCTGAGGCGAGCCATGCGATTGAAACGGGATTCGCGAACTCCCAACGTTATGACGCTTGGAAGAACTTAGGTGAGAGTCTCCAGTGAAGCTCGTATTCACAATTCAATATTAAAAAAATAGACAACGGCAAGGACCTGCCAGACTTTAACACATCCATGTTCAGGTAAGGCAGACCAGAGGTAAGAACACTTTGGCAGCAAGAGCATTGGAAACTGATTGGTGTGTTTTCTGGCAACTCCCGTGTTCAAGCTCAGGGCAGCATTGATGCCGGAAAAGCTGCGAGTTTCTTGGACTGCGAGAATGGAGATCCATTTTGGCACCACTTTCGTGAAGCATTTAGTGCCACGGGGCCTTTGTCTCCTGCAACGGCATCGTTGGCGTATCTCAAGTGGAAAGAGTGGGAAGACTTCATCGATGGAATGGACGCTGCCAGTCTCTTCGACGGACGTATATTTGTTCCTTTAGCGGGTGAATGGCACCCGGATGGTTCGGCATACTATACCCAGATTCGTGAAAAGCGGGATTGGGTGACTGCTTTGCAGAAATCGCAGTGGCAAGGATTGTTTGGGTCTCCACCTGCGTGGTCCTCCGACAACTTGGTTGGTTTCATGGCGTGTCCTGTTGGTTTTGCATTGGTTCAGTACGTGATTTTTTTGGTACACAAGATGCGATCCAATTTGCCAGAGGATGCTGCGAGATTGAATTTGGAAAGCATGCTGTTTGCGTTTGTGAGCATTTTAGATTCTAATTTTGATCATTTGGAATCATCGAACTGGAATGTGAGTTCCTTTGACCTTGCAGTGAACTTGAATTTGGAAGATCCACATTTTTATGCAAGCTATCGGGATTTCATCGAGGAAGGTGAAGGCAAAAGTGAGAACGCAATAATGTTTGCGGAGTCTTCTTTTCAGTGTGACCGAGACGACAGAGACGGTTTTCAGTTTGGAAAGATCAGAGTTGCACTCGTCGGGGAGCACGGACCCAGCAATTTAGAGCATTTGGCCTCTTTGCAAGCAGCAGCGGGTCGAATGGAACTTGAGGCAGGACATTTTTTTGCTTACTTGTGGCAATTTGAGAAGCTTTCAGAGTTTTCAGCCTTTCAATCTTCGCTTCGGATCACTTGGGATGCCTTTTGGGGTGAGCCTCTCACAGAGTCTGCTGGGCGAGACAAATTGACGTCAAGGCCTTTGTGGAAAGTTCACGAAGCTTTGTGGGCCTTGAAGGAGTTTGCGAGGAGAGACGTGTTTTTGCGGTCTTTTGTTACTGGTAAAGTAGCGTCCTTGTTCCTAGTAGTATGGCCAGGAGCTCCTAGTAGCGTCCTTGCTCCCAGTAGCGATGCCAGGAGCCCCTAGTAGATTCTAGTTGCTGCCCCTAGTAGCGATGCGCTTCAGGAGAGACGTCTTTCTGCGGAGTTCCAAGTTGATCGTTTGCTCCGAGCCTCTGTGGCTTTGCATTTTGCTTCACGCGGCTTTAGACGCTTTGGACAGCGAGCATGGTCGAGGATGCCACGAGTCACTTCGTGAATTTCGCAAGGCCAAAGAAGGACGGAAAGAACAGGTTTTTGGTAGGAACAAGGGCATCGCTACTAGGAGCAAGGACGCTGCTAGGGGCTCTTGGCCGTAGTACTAGGAGCAAGGTTCGCTACTACTAGGAGCTACTAGGAGCGTCCTGGTTGATGCCAGGAGCGCCCCTAATGGCTTCTTGCTCCTAGTAGCGATGCCCTTTGTTCCCAATAGCGTCTTTCGGCAGTAGGAACTTTTGGCGGCAACCATTATTGTTTTGGAAACTTTCAGAAACAGCAGGCTAGGGAAGGCCAATATTAAGTATAGGGACGTGTGTTAATTGCGACGGAAACCAGTGTAATTCCAAACAGTAGTGTTATTCCTACTTGTCTAGTGTGTTTTTT